AATGCTGCAGAGGGCATGGAGAGGAGAAAGGTTGCTGCACCACTGAAGAGTTTAAAAAGTGAATTCTTATGCAGAAGCGATATGACATGACATAAGAATTATGTTTTATTGCAGCTTTCAATGGTAAGTGAAGTATTGAATTGACAAAGTTTTCTTTATATTGGCCAAACTGATGTGAACGACATCCTAACTGATCATTGCTAATGCATGATAGTGCAATATATGCTTCTGTTTTAGTCCATACTCTTCAGAATTCTCGTCAGCTTTGCCTCACCAGGAGGGTTCGTGTATTTAAAACCATTTAACAGATTTTTGAATAAACAAAATATTGTCAGTCAGCTGATAATACTTTATTTCCAAATTTTTTGTGTGCATGACATTTGCACTTCATTGCAGAGAGTGCCTCTAAAGACACTAAAGTCATAATGGAAGATAAAAAATGTATTTTAACAAAGAGCAAAAAATATTATGCAAAGCAATAATGATATAAATCCTTGTAATGGCAACAGGGAGATCTGTGGAGAAGAAAACACTGATGAAGCTTTGCGGATGTCTACAGTTGTAACAGTGCCATTTGGAAAGATCTTAACATTTCATTCTGATGCTCTGTACAATGACAGTGTGATAGGGGGTCAAATGTAGGGGTATATTATCAATAGAATCATAGAATCGTATAATATTTAGGGTTGGCAAGGACCTCAAGATCATTTAGTTGCAACACCACTGACATGGGCAGGGACACTTCACATTAAACCATATCACCTAAGGCTTTGTCCAACCTGGCCTTGAACACCACCAGGGATGGAGCATTCACAAACCTCCCTGGGCAACCCATTCTAGTGCCTAACCACCTTTACAGTAAAGAATTTCCTCCTTATATCCAGTCTAAACTTCCCCTGTTTAAGTTTAACCCATTACCCCTTGTCCTATCACTATAGTCCCTAATGAAGAGTCCCTCCCCAGCATCCTTATAACTCCCCTTCCGATATTGGAAGGCTGCTATGAGATCTTCATGCCACCTCTTCTCCAGGCTGAACAGTCCCAACTTTCTCAGCCTGCCTTCATACGGGAGGTGCTTCAGTCCCCTGATCATCCTCATGTCCCTTCTCTGGACTTGTTCCAACAGCTCCATGTCCTTTTTGTGTGCAGTTCTGGTGTCCTCAACATAATACTCCAAGTGAGGTCTCACAAGAGCAGAGGAGAGGGGCAGGATCACCTCCTTTGACCTGCTGGTCACGCTCCTTTTAATGCAGCCCAGGATATGGTTGGCTTTCTGGGCTGTGAGTGCACACTGAAGCCGGCTCATGTTCATTTTCTCACTGACCAGCAGCCCCAAGTCCTTCTCCGCAGGGCTGCTCTGAATTTCTTCTCTGCTCAACCTGTAGCTGTGCCTGGGATTGCTCCGACCCAGGTGTAGGACCTTGCACTTGGCATGGTTAAACTTCATGAGGTTGGCATCAGCCCACCTCACAAGCATGTCAGGGTCCCTCTGGATGGCATTCCTTCCCTCCAGTGTATCAACCGAACCACACAGCTTGGTGTCATCGGCAAACTTGCTGATGGTGCACTCAATCCCACTGTCCATGTCAGCGACAAAGATGTTGAACAAGACCGGTCGCAACACTGATCCCTGAGGGACACCACTCGTTACTGGTTTCCAGCTGGACATTGAGCCATTGACAACAACTCTTTGCGTGCAGCTATCCAGCCAGTTTTTTATCCACCAAGTGGTCCATCCATCAAATTGATGTCCCTCCAATTTAGAGACAAGGATGTCCTGTGGGACAGTGTCGAACGCTTTGCGCAAGTCCAGGTAAATGACATCAGCTGCTCTACCCCTGTCCATCAGTTCTGTAGCCCCATCATAGAAGGCCACCAAATTGGTCAGACAGGATTTCCCCTTAGTGAAGCCATGCTGGCTGTCACCAAGCACCTTGTTGTTTTTCATGTGCCTTAGCATGCCTTCCAGGAGAACCTGCTCCAAGGTTTTGCCAGGCACAGAGGTGAGACTGACTGGTCTGTAGTTCCCTGGGTCATCCATTTTCCCCTTCTTGAAAATGGGGGTTATATTTCCCTTTTTCCAGTCGTCGGGATCTTCACCTGACTGCCATGATTTTTCAAGTATGATGGCCAGCGACTTAGCAACTTCATTCGCCAGCTCCTTCAGGACCCATGGATGGATTTCATCAGGTCCCCAAAGAAGTATCACCACATCTAGGCGGGATTGGAGGCATTCAGTCATAAACTCGCAGATGGTAGCCTTGTTCCAGTGGCTCCTCAGCCAAGTGCACGCACCAGGGGTCTGTACCTGCAGTTCCTCTCATACTGAGCAGGATTACTACTGCAACAACACATCAGTAGGGTGAAACTAACCTGTCTCATGACAGTCTAATACATAACTGTATTTCTGTTAATAGTTTTTGTAGAAAACTGGGTGTAATATATATATTTATTTGTATTTGTGTGTGTATAAATGTTTATATATATATCTATTTATTGAAAATGAAAGGTAGATCATGCTTACTTGTAGTGTGTTTGGCCATGGTTCTTGCTTTTGCTGGCTCCTGACTTAAGTTTGTAAGTGCCACCTTTTATCTTCTCAGGACTTCTCATGCTCTTTTCAAGAAAAAAGTACATGCAAACATTCTCCTTCTGCATTATTTTACATTTAATAACTAGGAGTATGTCATGTTTTAGACAGCTAGGTAATTAGATATCTTAATTTGAAGGCTTGTTTATTCATTTATTTATTTATTTTAAGCATTTCCAGTAACTGAACAAGATACACAAAGCTACTATATGTAGCTGTAACAGGGAAGGACAACCTTTGTAAAATACTGTCCTTAGTGTGAATCATAGTAGGTGAGCACAGATGAGAAGGTGAATCTGGTGTTTCTGCTGGTGCAGTGGACAAATGTGTAGGTATTGCAAGCCTGGTATATGGTTAACTCTCTCGTTTCCTTCAATGAATAGAATGGATTCATTGATAGCAGTGAATGGGCCGCTATCAGGAGCGTTCTTCTCATGAATTGTTAAAAGGTGGAGCGATATGTGATCCAGTAGAAGCTGCAGTCTTTGTATCAGGAGTGCTACTTTTAGAAAGGCTGAGTCAACAAACTCATAATTCACAAGCAATCAAAAGGCACATGGTTTTGACCTTGGTATGATTTCGTTTCTTTCATCCTTTCACAGCTGTCCTCCAGACTGTAGTGTCATGTTTTACAGACTATGTTTAGTTTCTTCATTAAAGCTCAAACATGAACTACATGGTTTGAGGTAGTGAGGACGAGTGGCTTTTAGGGTCTACAGATACATCAGGTTTGTCTGAAAAATCCTTTTGTTCTTTTTGTCACTTTTAGCAACTTGCAGTTTGTCCAGAGCTCTAGTTCCTTTTGTATTAAGAAGAGCAAGTAGCAGATATTCCAGTTTAAGCATGAGGTTGAGATCCACAGTATCGACAAATCCCTGAGAGCAGTGTTTCATTTGGCTATGGGTAGTCAGGCTGCTAGGCAGATGGTCTCAGCAAATGGTATCTTTGCAATGAAAAAAAGGCTGCCTTGGATGGATGGATTGCTTTACTTATTTATTTTTTTGTTTATTTATAGAGCTTTGTGGTTTGGCTCACAGCCAAGGATGTTTCCTGTTTCTGGTTTTGATTTACACCCGTTTACTTTTCAGGCTGCATCCTCTGTTGCATTCTAACTAAATAGTGTGTGCCCGGCACCATCAAGAGCATTATTGATGCTATCTGGTTGGTGGCCCTCTAGAGACTTAGCTTCAGGTGTCTTTCAACTCTTGATCTGATCCCCTCTACCACCAGTATGATGACTGGGAATACTGTAGAAAGGTGTTTTGTGGTTTGTAGTGTAATTCAAGCCTCAAAATCCAAAGCCTCAGAAAATCTGCATCCTGTGCAATCTCATGGAAGCCAGTGCACGGCAAATCAGATTTTACAGTGTATAGATGCTGAAGTGCAAAAGTCAAGATAACTACGTGGAGGCAAGCACACCTGTATTGGAGTGGACACAGTGGTAATCTTGGGGAGGTAAGTTGCTCAAGGGTTCTAATTAACTTGTTAATTACCAAAATCTTCAATAATTTTTATTGAAGATTTTGTAAACCTTTTTCAAAAATATCTAATGTAATATTTAGATGTAATGAGCTTTATCACATTTTGGTAACTGAATGCAGATTCTGTTTAGATGTCAAGAATTTCTAGTGTATATTAAAAAGTAAAAAAAAAAGAGAGAAAATTCTTCCCTGTGAATGTGGCGAGACACTGGCACAGGTTGCCCAGAGAAACTGTGGCTGCCCCATCCCTGGCAGTGTTCAAGGTCAGGTAGGATGGGGCTTGCAGCAACCTGGTCTAGTAGAAGGTGTCCCTGCCATGCTTTAAGGTCCTATCCATCCCCAAACCATTCTGTGATTCTACATGTTTTGTGTTTATTGACTCGTGTTTGAGAAACAGAAGAAGAAATCATGTTGACTAAAACCAGAAATAAACCAGGTTTATGTAACTTTTTCCGTAGTAAATTAAAATGCAAAAAAGTAAGAAACTACAGTAACATAGGATCATTTCCCAAAGATTTCAGTACACTAGAAATCTCCTAAAAAATTGTTAAAATTGGTGCAGAAATCAGTTTTGAACTGAATCTTCTGTCCTAGCTCCCCAGAAGTTGATCTTTTGTAATTTCTATTATGATTAAGCTTTTAATAGCTTCAGTTAGCTTCTGCAATCCCTTCAAAAGGGAAAAAAAAAGTAATCTAGAACTCTTCATCTTACTGAGTGTGGATTTTACTGTTAAAAAATGAATTGCAGTTAGTGTACAATTAGTGGCTAGTGGTTACAAGTAGTGGCTGAGCTACCACAATGTGTTTCAAGATGTTTATTTTCACCTTGCATTTCCTGAAATGCTTATATCTAGAGTAAAATTATAACTTGACATGAAAGACATCGTTGCTTTATGTTTGCAGGAGATGGCAAAAAGAATGGCACATTCAATGCCTTCATTATCCTAAGAGGAAAACCAGCTTAGAATGCCTATCAAGGTAAGAGCACACTGTGGACAGCTAACACAGTTGGCCTCTTTTGTTTTGAGCATTTTTGTCTCTAATGGAAATACATGTTCTTCTGTTTTGTACAGGTTGCTGGATCTAACCTGAACTGGGTTTGCATTACACTGAAAGGAAACTAAGTCATGGAAAGACCATGGTGATGATAAGTTTCTCATGCGCTATCCCATTAGCTGCTAATTTATAAAATATTCTTTGGTCAGCATGTTATAGCCAATTGTCATGGAAATGCAAGGAGTACCATAGCCATAAAATATATAAGGATAGAGCAGTATATGTGGCCTGTGGGGATAAAGTTTCATACTGTTCAATAAACATCAGTTGAAGTGACTGCGTGTGTTTATTTTATTTACCAACTGCAAATTATGTATGTATTGAAGGGAAATTACTCAAATAAAAACTTGTACCGATATTCTTGTCTGGAGATATACTATCCTCTTAAAAAAATATTGCAGTAGTGGAGGCTATAACACTACCTGAGTTTCAAGGAATTTGGAATGACCTTGCATGATCTAGCCTCCTTTGCATTAGACACCTACTTCTGGTACTCTGATTCTTGCTCATGTACTCAAAAGAAGTAGATGCATGTTCTGTGTGGTAGGTGTTATGAGAGTGAATGGAGGTTTTCTCTTGCAACAAAATCATGGCACAGCTTTAAGCTGTTAATGACTTTTTATAAGTTTATCCTAATTAGCTCTATTACTAAGCCTTTTTTTTTTCTTCTTCTTCTCTTTTTCATCCCACCCTGTCCTTGCTGTTTGTCTCCCACTGATTTTTAGTGGAAATTTTAATTACCCTGCTGATACAAAGCAGACAGAGATGACCTGATGTCTGGGTCTTTTCCTAAAGTGATTCCTGGCAAACATACTGAAATTCATTAATTAGTTCGGCTTGAGACCAGAAAGAACAGATCAGTATTCTCTTGTAGCAGCACAATCTAATCTACATTTCCATGTATAACTATACATCTAGTCATAAACTTGTGGAATAAGCCAAGTTAAATCCTCCCAGCCATGGGTTTTTTTGAATTTCTAAAATCAGCTCTAGTAAGAGCTCAGGATCTAGAGTCCAACACTGTTGTTGCAGATTAAGGGGAATCTGGCAAAATTCCTTGGGCTGCTGCCATGTGGATCTGCTGGTAGAATACAGTATGATAAGATGTTGAATTTGGCTCATTACTCTTGCAAAATGCTTCCCTAGACTTCGTGGGACACAGGTTTAGGAACTGGAATGGTTTTATGGAGGGATGGTGCTCACTGCTCTAGACAGAGCTGTTATTAGCGGTGTACATCCAAGATGGTTTGTGGCTTGTTTAACCTTGTAAGGAATCTATTTTGTGCTGTTGCATAGAGAGAAATAGGTCAAACGTAACAGGCTTTTAAATGGCTTGTGACAAGAGTCTCATCTTTTCTGTTGTAACTTTTACAGTGCAGGTTTGAAGACTGATCCACCTCTTAAGTCAGTGAGCAGTTTTAAATTTGGCTTTCATGGAACATCAGACCTAAACAATCGTTTAAAATACAGAACTAACTTGAATGGGACTGAGTAACGGTTGGATTTGGTGCTTGATAAAATGGAGTGCTGTATAGAATCATAGACTAGTTAGGGTTGGAAAGGACCTTAAGATCATCAAGTTCCAACCCCCCTGACATGGGCAGGGACACCTTGCTCTAAACCATATCACCCAAGGCCTCGTCCAGCCTGGCCTTGAACACTGCCAGGGATGGAGCATTCACAACTTCCCTGGTCAACCCATTCCAGTGCCTCACCACCCTAACAGGAAAGAATTTCCTCCTTATATCCAATCTAAACTTCCCCTGTTCAAGTTTTAACCCATTACCCCTTGTCCTATCACTATAGTCCCTAATGAAGAGTCCATCCCCAGCATCCCTATAGGCCCCCTTCAGATACTGGAAGGCTGCTATGAGGTCTCCACTCAGCCTTCTCCAGACTGAACAGCCCCAACTTTCTCAGCCTGTCTTCATATGGGAGGTGCTACAGTCCTCTGATCATCCTTGTGGCCCTTCTCTGGACATGTTCCAACAGTTCCATGTCTTTTTTATATTGAAGACACTAGACCTGCGCGTAATATGTCTAAATAGTTTCACTTAGATTCTGAATGTGCACCCCCATAGGTTAATAGCATGATGCCAGTGCTTTTGAGAACTATCTTGTAGAGAACTGGTATTTTATAATCTAACGCAGTTTAGCTGCAGTCTCAAAAACTGTGTAGCAGTGGATGTGACTGTGAAGTTGATTTTTCAGGTTGGTTTAGTACATTTTTATTGCTTCTTGAATGAGATAATTCAGTGACCAAACTTCATTCTCATCTTTATATTGGCATTAGTCTAAGCTGTGGTAACTTCTGCAATCCAGATGTGTGCTGGTGGTAGATCTGACTTCTACTTGAAGGGAGGCTTTTTTTTGGAGTAGCAAAGAGATCTTCTGTTAAATAGCATGTTCCACTCCTCCTCTTCCATGGGAGGATTTCCATCTAATTGCGTATGTGTGGTTGCTTAGCCATGCATCTGATAGCAACAGCTTGCAGTGCAAGAAGATACTCTGCAACTTCGTCAGGTGTGGTCCCATTCTGTTGTGCAGGTCAGTCAAAACACGTTAGTACCATTTCAGGTGCTCGCATTGTGTGTGTTATGATTTTGAATTCTGTCTTCTGTGCATTCACAGTGTGCTTCTTGCAGCAGCATCTTTTATTAGCTGTGAAACATTTCTACTTGAATGGCATTTAAATAATAAGGCTAGAAGCAAATTTGAATGAAACCAAACCCAAAACGTTTTTCTCCCCACAACTGAAATAAAGCATGCCTCCATCCCCCTGTTCTAAGACAAATGTTACAGTGCTTCTGTCAGTGCAGCAGACAAATATCCATTAAGGCATCATGAAAAGTACTTTTCTATTTAAGTGAAAGTAAAGCAGAAAAGAGAAGCTGAATGCTGGATGTGCACTTCTTAGGGCAGAGGTTGACCTTCCGCTTGCTTTTCAGATGCTCGCCTTTGCAAAACTGTGGTGTGAGCTGTAGCTTTGGTTTGCACCAGAAAGAAAACTGAAATCGGGTCCAGTTATTGATGGGCTCTACTGGCTTTCATTTTCCTACTGAAAACACAGAAATACCCAAGTAGGGATGAACATAAATATGAACTGCTTGAAAGAGCAGAAATTACTCCAAATATACTTTTTTATGCAACACATGAGGGCAGGATGTCTCCTGTTTCTTATGTAAAAAAAAGTAAACCCTAATGATCATTCTGGTGGTTGCGTGTATGTTTTTTTGGGGGATTCTGATTTCTCTTTCTTTGTTTTTGTGTGTCTCAGAATCCTGCAGGGCAACCTGTAATACTTGGTGATTTGATTGCTGAGTGTGACAATTAGTCTCAATGTGCTCTGCATGGGTAAATTTGCTCTGCAGATAGTCAAGAGGTGATGTCCTCTAGTACATATCTGAATGTTGCCTTTCAGGAATCCTTTTATTCTCAGTGGAGACAGATATTGAATGTGAGCACAAGGAAATAAGTCCTGCAGCTTGTAGCATTGCATTGTAGGAGTGAGAAGGTGGAGCTTGTGTGGACCCTTGCTTTGGTCCCAGTGGAGAGAACACATGGCCTTTTGCTACTCTGGAGTTCTTAGGATGTGATCCGTGCTTCCTAGAAAGCAATATACTGCTTACTGTCCTTATCCCAGAAAGGAAACTTCTCTACCGATCTGTTATAACAAGAAGTCAAGAGCTGAGTCAGGTAAAATAGGGGATGGACCTGGCAGGAGAGACCTATTTGGGCAGCTCATGACTGCCTGCCACTGGTACCAATATGAAGTTAGCTAGCATGTGCAGGACTGCCACTGTTTGAAGTGTGACTCCACTTTTGCTTGTTATTTCTCCTGTTTATTGTATAAGGCCCCCCCCCCCCCCATAAACCAGAACAAACCATTAATCATCTTTTTTTTCATCATAGATACTTGCAGATAGAAATCAGCTTGGATTCATACCTGTCTCTAAGTCATTATTCTGTTGCCTGTGTGGCACTGGGTATCATTGAGTAAGGAGTGCCTTTGTGGTTTTCTCGATTGTGTTTTCCTTTTGTGGCTCTTTTATATTGAAATACTAGTAAGAAAAAAAAAAACAACACTTAAGAGCTTTACTGCAACCTGTGCAAGCCACCTGAATGCATGCAAGAAAGCTCATGGCTTATGAAGTTCTCCTGGGAATACTTGTTCTTCTCACCATCATTAATTTCAGTAAAGATGCGTGGATAAGGCTGTACAAATAAACACAGCTGCGGAATGTGACATAGTAAACAACATGCTGAAACCTCTTGGCAGAGAGTTATTTACCAGGGAGCCCAAATACAACACTTAGTCCATGGAAAATATGGCATTTAAAGTTTTGGTACTTTTGAATTTTTCAGAAGCAAATATTTATCCCTAGAACTGCTCAATCTAGCCTTGTATTTACACATAAGGGGGCAGTGTGGTACTGCTAGCCAAGTGCCATGGAGGTGCACATTAGATTTCACTATTGTATATTGCATCATGTTTTAAGAGATGGCTTTAGCACTCTAAGCACAATTAGAGCTTTGTCATTGTCTGAGAGTGCTGCTCTGTCTATACTGGGGAGAACCAGGTTGGACTCTTTCCTTTCTTCTTTATAAATATTTTGTTCTTAGAGAGTTTTTTTGTACTATTTTGGTTCTCTCATAATCCTTCATAGGTATGTGAAGGAGTGGGAGCCAGTTTTCTCAACACTGGTATGGGGAAGTTCAAATGACATCATTCAACCTCCCCCACAGCAACATTCACTTATTGGGAAGGAAGATAATATTTCCACTGGAACTTTCCTTTGCACACCATATATCTGCCCAGTTTTGGGAAGTATGAACATTCTTCCACAGTTTTCATGGAAAATGGTGTTTCTGATCATTTTGTAACAGCACAGTCTTGTACCTGCCAATACAAGAACTGTGATTAAGCAGCTATAAAACAATGTATGCATGGGTTCTTGGGTCATCTTATTTCTACATGTGTTAATATTCAGGGTTTACAGGCCAGAATGTGATGGCATGCGGCATTTCATATGCTTCTAACATGATGTCTTGAGTGCCTTACTACAGGATGCTTATAGAGTTTTTCTCACCTATTAGAGTAGCCTGACTGGCTTGCAGTTTCATGCTACACCTGATGTGTGCTGTAGTAATCCAGAAATGTGTTATCTGTGTCATTTCTTCATACTTTCTGCGTGAAATTCTACTTCATAAAAAGTTTTCAAGATTCATTATGAGTCTCCTTTTTATATTTCCTATACAGAGACGTGGCAATGTGAC